TGCCTCTGCTTCCACCTTCTGGGCTGGCAGTTATTATGTCTCGACAACTGCCCGCTGCCGGACGCTAACTGATTTGTGCATTGACGCGAAGTCGTAGAAATATTCAACATAAATACGTGTATTATTCGACTTGAGTTCGTTCTCTCTGTGCGCAGTTTTATGCTTTCTATCAAGCAGCTAACAGAGGCTATATTTACATTTTATATGAATCTTTAGATATTTTTAGCTTTTTATTGGACATTTACTTATTCGCCCAAGCTACTTGATCCTTCAGCTTTTGACAACTTTGGGCACAAGTCCCATATTGTCTAGTGGTTAGGATATCCGGCTCTCACCCGGAAGGCCCGGGTTCAATTCCCGGTATGGGAAAACTATTTTCTTTTCTATTTTAATGAAAGTTATTAATCAAGCTAGTCAGAGTGGGTTTAATCGATATTCGTGCCTAAGGACCTGACTATGGAAAACTTTTTGTTTACTTCTCTCCATTTTAAATTATTTAATGCTTCTAGTCAGCCAAAGATGACGACGCGGGTTCAATTCCCACAACGAATACTTTGATGTCATACAACTCTTTATTCATTAATAAATACACTTATTGGATAAGCGATTGCGAGCATTGATAGTCGTGCAAAGTCGTTCGAATCTTGATAGGAATATCTTAATAAGGCATTTAAAAAGAAGGATCCGAGCTACAACTGCGATACTTAAGGGCTAAGTTGGGGGGTCTCAATTCAATATCCAGAAGGGAACCTATGTGTTTCTATCGCATATAGGAAAAAACTCAGGCTCGATTTAAGGTGAACACGGAAATATTTTTAATTGGTCTCTTGCATTTTATTTACGACTTTAATTTTTACTATCAACTGCGGAGCCGCGGCACATTTGTGGACCGCTCGATTGCCTAATGTGGCCAATGGACGGATGGGCATCTGGTTCCGTTGCAAGTGCGAGTATCTGAGGTTCATCAAGAGCAAGAGCAAGAACAGCTTCTTTCGAAATCGCTGGCACAGATACAGAACTGGCAAGCGCTTTGCTTGGTTGTAGGTTAAGTTTAATGTCCAAAAATTTTACGGCTAGCCAACAAAGAAACAGAGGGAGAGAGAGAAAAGGTGGTTCGGGGAGGGCAGGCTGAGTAAAGGCTTGTGGCTGGGCAAGTGTTTCACACAGTAAACACAAGTTAATGAAATTAAAACGTAAGCAGCAGCAGGCAAACGCAATAAACACAAAAGAAATTACAATTAAATTGAAAGCAGGCAAAAGTCGAGATTTGAGTTGCTTTGCCCCCCGCACACACACACACACACACACTTCGTTTGCGAGACGTTGGCGTGGCATGCAACCTAAATGGAAATGAACTCGCGTGGGCCGCTGCAGTTGAGCCCCACTTCCTAAACCCCAGCTTGCCCCCCTCCCTCAGCTGCTTGGCTGGGGTCTCTATCGCGATGCTCCATTTGTGCCACAGCCGCTTCCCTCTCGCTCTCGCCCTCTCGTCCAGCTTCAGCGGCGCACTTGCTGCCCTCTCTCTCCCTCTCTCTCGCACTCCCCTTCTGTCGCATGACATGCGGCTTTTAATCGCATTCGTTTCAATTGCCGGAATTTTATTGTGAAATGAGCAAAGACTTTAGTCCCCCTCTCTCTCCCTCTCTCTCTCTCTCTCTCCTTCTCTCTTTGTGAATAGCTGGCCCTACCGCGCGACTTTCTTTGTGAAGCAAAGTGAAGTGCACAGTCAGTCAGCTCATCCCCTTAACAAACGAAAGCTCCAGCTCTGTTCCGCAGTTCGTTTCATAATTTTTTCCCCTAACGCTCGGCGTTACCCAACACTATTTTTTAATTGCGAACGCGAAAAGAAATAACTTGCAAATTTAATGTTAATGCTAATGTTATTGTTAATGTTAATGTTAATGCTGTCTCCCCGCACTCGCGCGAGTGTGTGTGTGTGTGTGTGGGCCATAAAAAGTGAAAACTGCCAGCGGCAGAAAAACTCAGTTTTCTTTCTCTTTGAGCCTCTCGCATATGCATGCATGTTTTTCTTTTCAATTATATAGTTTTTCTTAACAATTTTCTCGTCATTGTTGTTAATGTTTCCAGTTGCTGCTGCTGCAGTTGTTGTTGCAACTTTCATTGTGCTCACAACCAAGCAGCCGAGCAGCCAAGCAGCCACCCACCCACACAGCCAAGGTCGCTTCGAGTGCTGCCAACTTGCTTTTATTTTATTTCACATTTTTTATCTGCATTTTTTCTTCACTTTTCACAAGTTTCTCATAACTAACATTTAAGCCCAGTCATAATTATTAATGTGCACATTTCTCTTTCTCACTCTCACAACATTTCTTTGTTTAACTTGCCTCGCTTCCCTCGCTCGCCTCTTTCTCCCTCTCTCTCACTCTGTCGCTGGCCTTTGCAACTCCTCTTGCTTGGCTTACCCGCAGTGCTGGTAATTAAAATTTTATTTAACACATTTCACTTGAATACATCGTCCATCTCCCTTCCTCTTCTCCTTCTCTTTTGCAACTTATATTTTCTTTTCATCAAATATTTAAAAGGCATTCACATTTGCTGCACATGCAAAAACTTGTACTGAACTAACTTTCTTTCATATATGTCAAATACATATGACCAAACTTTTATGCAAGGCTAAATTCTGCAAAGCCATAACAGTTTAAGAAATGTTGATAAGAGCGCTGCAAGTGCTTAAGCATTCCACTACAAGCAATGTAAACTTGTGACCTATACAGAACAGAGAACTATAAAGAAGTCTAATCTTTACAAGAAGAGGGTGGGAATGAATAGAGGCTCCTCGTTTCAAGTCTCTCTACGAACGGTCAGGCAGATAGGCAATGCATAAAACCCATATACTCGTTTCACTTCAAATCAGAATTCAAGGTGCTATATTTATCCACATATTAAGTTATATGCAATATTATGACATATTAAATTTCTACCACGACTCCGCTTTAACATTTATTTATTAATCAGAAATATGATAAGGTCATGGAACTGTTTTTATTGGACAAGTTGGACTTATTTATTTATAAATTACAATTTAATTTAATTATGGTCAGTTTAGTTTTTTTCCATCGATAAATAATGAATAATAGTCGCTTTAATAAACTACCTATGGAAACAGTTGAAAATGTTCGTTGACTATTTTTTTCTGTAATCAATTTATTTATTTACCCATGAATCAATAAATTGAATATGGTAAAAAACTGTAAAGCACGCATATTTGATAAATACAAATGGAAATAATGCAAACACAACGCACACACACACATACACACACACACACAAACAGACTCGCACACACATAGCGAACCAACATTATGCAAATTAAATATTTGCTAATGCAAATACAAACACAAATACAAACTCAAAGCCGAATCAAGTGCTGCCGCAGTGGGGCGTGAAATCGGGGAGGGGGACTACTACGTGGCAGCCGAGGCAGTGTTAAGGAGGTCGTCCTGTGAGTCCGAATGCTTGCATAATCCACTCATACATACATACATACATACATATGCATACATTACACAGACACGCCAGAAAGTTCGATTCTTGGCACCGAGACGAGTCACGAGTCGATGCGAGACTCGAGTGTTGAGTCTCGAGTCTCGAGTCGCAGCCAGCTCACGTTTGAGTTGGTTCAAGGATATGTGCGTGTCCTGAATGGGCACAGCGGCGCATAACTTGCGTGCGAAGGCCACACAACACAAACAACACAAACAACAACAACGGCAACACAACAAAGAGCAACAAAGCTGAAAAGCTTACGAAACAAGAAATTATGTTTAAGGACATTAAGGACATGCCCACACCTGTCGATATTTGTACAGTTTTTGGCGTGCGTTCATTATTGTTAGCTCAGCTAAGTCGCCCTGTGCCCCCTTCCTCACCTGTGCGCTCTGGGCAACCGGTTTGTGGCATTGCATCCTGATCGAAGATGGGAAGCGCAGCATTTCCGTTTCGCAAAACTCGTTTGCCACAAAGTGTCCTGCCTCAGCTTGCCAGTTGGCCGAGGCGCCCCTCAGCTTACCGTTCGACATGTGTACTGCCCCTGCCCTTGCCCTTACCCCGACCGCTGTCCTCCTTGAACTTTTGTTTTGCCAGTGTAGCAAGCAGCTCCTAAAGGTAATCACCATTAAAACTCATTACCAAGGGCAACACGCCATGGCCAATACGACTCAGGACACTAAAGCTGCCCACAGACCGACTATAAACCGGCTTGGCCAGGACTGCGATTGCGATTGCGATTCCGATTGCGGCTACAGCTCGCAATCAGCAAAAACAAACTGAATTCCGCTGAAATACAAATGGAAACAGGCAACTGCAACAACTTCCAATTTGTATCCTTCTAGTTGCGGCAGGCAAACTTTATCTCTGTCTTGGCTTTATCAATGAACTAGTTTCTATCGATTTCCCATGCAATACGATAGAGATAAGCTCCTACCTGTACACTGTGCCCCATATCCTATACCCTATGCAAATGCGGTTACTTGTGCACTGATTTATGCATTAGAATATATATTTCGTACATTTCGTCTGGCAAGATGACTTGGCAAAAGGAAATATGTTTGGTATAGGTTCTCTTGAGTTCCATGGGGTTTCGTTCACTGGCCTCGGCCGTTCGCAGTCAGCAGCGGAAATAAATTTGTTTGTCGAAAAATGCGCTGTCTAGGCGAGAGAAATAAATTCCGACTATTTTATTGCCGTCTGGTGACATTACAAGCGATATTTCGAGGACTTCAGCAGTGCTAGGGGTGGGGGCACATTGAGTTGGCTGGCGCCAAATCAAGTCAAGAGAAATTGCGCTGCAGTTGTCGCAGCGGCCAGAAGGAAAGGAACGTGGAAATTGTTGGACAGACAACCTTGAGCTAATTTGGCTAGGCTCTTGCAATCTTACCTCCCTCTCTCTCTTTCTGACTCTTTGCAGTTCCCTCTCTCTCTCTCTTTCTCTGTCTTGCATGTGTGACTCACTCTCTCTTTGTTTCGGTGTCTCTTTGCAGGGGCCGACAGCGGGCCAGACGAAATTCCTCGCGCCGGCAACAACATGACAGCCGCTAAGTGGGGCACCGTCACAAGGCAGACGCCCCAAAAATAGACGCCGCAACGCCGGCAACACATCGGAAATGCTCCTCCCCTCCGCCACAGTGTTGCAGATGCCGCCATCCCAGCCATCCCAGCCACGCAGCAGCAGCAGCAGCACCGGCCTGGTGCTGGGCGTCTGTCTCGACCAGCTGATGCAGCAGCCCCCACTCAAGAGGTTGCCAGACAACGACAACACCGAGGCAGAGCCAGAGATACCGAAGCAGCCGCAGTCGGCAGCCAGGCAAGCGCCCTGCTTCATTGTGCTCGTCTCGCTGCTGGAGGTAGGTTGACCGGGCTGACCACTTCTAATGCAAATGCCCTAAGTGTCCCGACCCAAGGGTTGATTCGAAAAATGCCACCGGGTTGCCATGACGGCATGCCCAACACACACACGTCCACACACCCACAAGCCAAGACTCGCTTTGGGGGCTGGGGACTTAATTGCTGTCACAAGTGCAGCCAGATAGGGCAATAAATGGAAATCCCTTCGACATTAACTTGAAGCGGGTTCAGAGTGAGCGACTCTAGCAATTTGTTTCAGATACTTAAATCGAGGCAGCTCATATCAAACATTATTTAACTGCTGCTTGCACTCATTGAATCTGCTGCTTCTGCATCGATTACTTCTCTGCAGTTTCAATTTGCAGTGAACTAAGGCTACGAATTTCTCAAGTCTGCCAAAACTCAAACTAATTTCTGTCTACTGTCTTCTCTACTGTTTCACTGCATTCAAGAGCTGCACTAAATATGCTTATATGCCACGCTCTGTGACCTCTGACCCCGGGGCTGTTATGGCAGCTGTTGTTGCCTGGAGTGAGCCCTGGGCTTCAGCTTCTTGGGCTGCGTGCCCTTTATTCGGCCAACATCTCAAGTTATTGCCGCTGCCGCCGCCTGGGGTTGCTGCTCTACTGGATCCATGTGGGTGTCCCGGAGCCAAGCAATAATAGCTCTCCTGATCATATTTCAGCCCTCGATGGGTTGCGTGCCCAATCCGTTGCCCCATTCACTATTCGCCACTCCCCACTCTCGACTCTTCCCCATCCATTTGGCAGTTGCAATTCCATTTTTAATGCCACACTCGCACACACACACATTCACATATGTGAGTCGAGTTTTGTGGCACATAAATTGCCCGACTGGCCGCAAAGCGAGTGGCAAGCGGCATTTGCAAATGGCATTTGGCTTCCGGGCTGGGCAAGGATATATCAACAGAAACAGGAGACCAACATTTGGGGAGTGCGTGCGAAAATCCAAACACTTTTTGCGTCTGTATTGGTGTCTGGCCCTGCAGACTGGACGCCGCCTGCCGCAAGAAGCACACACGCACACACAGAGCGGGCAAGAGACAGAGAAGGAGACAGCAATAGAAAGAGAAAGAGCAACAGCGCCGGGGCATTTGGCGAGTGGCACATGAAGTTCGCCCTGGCATTGGCGACGTCTCGCCGCTGTCTGCTGCCAGTCTCGTTCGCCTCGGCTGCATCATGCAGAGCCCGAGGGTTGCTTTCGCCGGCGTTGGCTTTTCCTTTGCTTTGGCTTTTCCTGGCGCCGCGCAGGGTCGACATAAAAAATGGCTTTCATTGTGATGGCTTTATGGCTGTCAGCGTTGACTAGACTAAGCCCTTTACATCGAACCTTTAGGCAATTTCTTAATCAACTTCACTCCAGCAGATCCTTGTCTTTGTGTACGTCGGCGCTGCTCCGCCGGAGGATTCGTTGCTCATCTATCGACCGGATCGCCGTCTGCAGCTGTGGCGCTTCGTCTCCTACGCCTTGCTCCACGCCAGCTGGCTCCACCTGGGCATCAACGTACTCACCCAGCTGGTCTATGGCCTGCCGCTGGAGCTGCTCCATGGCTCGGGACGCACGGCTGTCATTTATTTGGCTGGCGTGCTGGCTGGATCCTTGGGCACCAGCGTTGTGGACTCCACGGTGTACCTGGTGGGCGCCAGTGGAGGGGTTTATGCTCTACTAGCTGCCCAGCTGGCCAATCTGCTGCTCAATTTCGGACAGATGCGTCAGGGCTTCGCACAGCTGTTTGCTGTCCTTATCTTTGGTGAGTTTCTGTCTCCTTGCCTAATCTCCGATTCAGCTCATTGAATCCTCCGCAGTCTCCTGCGACCTGGCCTACACGCTCTACTGCCGGCAGTTGCCTCTGACGGAGCTGACGCCCAACATCTCCGTCTCCTACATAGCCCACATGACGGGCGCCCTGGCGGGGCTCAGCGTCGGGCTCTGCCTGCTGCGACAGCTGGATGGGAGCCTGCGTCCACGTCTGCTGCGCTGGCTGGCCTTGGGCGTGTGGACCGCCTTCAGTGGCTTCGCCCTGGCCTTCAATCTGATCAACACAGTCACGGCCCAGCTGCTGGCCGAGGAGGAGGGCGAGGTGCTCAAACAGCATTTGCTGCACGATCTGGGCATGGAGCGCTGACAGCCACATCCAAAGACTGAGCCCAGTCAAGCCTCGAACTATACTCATATCCGAACAATAGACTAGTCATTAGCTCATAAGGCATTCCAGGACAACGTGCTCAAAAGAATATACACATCTAACATATATATATCTATATCTCTAAGAACTTGCCCCGACAAGTGCGCTCAAAGGCGAAAAGGAATCGAACGAATGCTAACAATTATCTTATGTAAATGCCAAAAAGGAGTTGGAGGAAGCAAACTCCCCATTGTTAATCGAGCGAGGCTCAATTCAGAGACTTCAAACTGTGCCGCTTAAGACAAGATCCTAGTGCTATGCATCCTATATATGTCAACTATACTTATCAGATTACTCATAGTAATACAAAGCAAGTATTTATCTAGCTGCGAATAAGTTTTAGCTAGGCTACAACTAACTAACATACAAACTCCATATGCAAATGAAAGTTTCAAAATAAATCAAAAATATATCTAAATCGAAATTTCAAGAGTTTTTATGTGGCTGGGGAATGATGTAATATCTATGTACATTGACTTCTGGGTTTAGGAATAAGTTTATATAAATAGAGATAATTTCAACTAGTTTCAACATTTCTCTGAATATTCCCATTTATACAAATTTAAAATACGCAAATGAGAATTTGTGGAAACATAAAACAAACATAAATATTTACAATAAATAATACACAGGAACTTATCCGCTTTATAGACTCGCTATATCGGATTTGAAATTATTTATAATTACCCGAGATATTTAGGGTCTATGTCAAAATTGATTGCAATGATTTTGAGAAATTCACGAATTGCAAAGATTAAAAAAAAAGTTCTTGGAAAACATCCGTAGAAAGTTTGCAGAATCATTCCCATAAGTGGAAAATGAGTGAGTAAGGTTAAGCTTAAAAGTGAACGAGAATATATTCAAGGGAATATATTTTATATTTTCCGACTAGTATAATGAGCATCTATCATTATACTCAAAGCCATTTAGGTCATTATTATATACCAATTATGGAAAGATAAAACACAATTCGACGTGATTATCGATCATCTAATAAGAACTCAAGCAAATCAGCTGCAAAATTTGACGACTGCATGACTTTTGACCAAGTACACTTTGCGTTCTGTTGGCCAATTTATGAGTTCAATATGAATGCATAAACATTCATGAGTGTCTGTGTGTGTGTGTTTGAGTGTGTGTGGTATTCAGCATGTGCCAGCGGTAACAACAGAAACAACAACAGCGAGAACAAAATGCAATTCACAATTGGCAAACGAAAAGTAAATAACAAACAAAAAATTAGCCGCTCGATTTTGTTTGTTGGCATTGCCTCATCGAGAATTGGCCTAATTAGGCACCAGGGCCTTAGCTCAATTCGAGGGGGCCAAAGAGGGGCTGGCAGGGTGTTGAGAGGTAGTCGCAGCGGTTGGCTTTTGTTTTGGCTTTCGGTTTCGTGTCGCAGTTTGCTAAGTCAAAACAAAACACTAAGAGAGAGTACTGAAACAGCGAATACCCTATAAAAGGAATAAGATTACCTCACTAGGTAGGGCGACATAAAGAGGGGTAAATGTGGTACTTGTCTTCTCCTTCTCGTATTTATATAAATTAAATTGTTTTGATACCAAATGCATATAACTTCCTGTCGCGCACTCGTAAAAATATTACAGGGTATTTAAGCACTGGCACCGAAATTGTAAACGCTTCTCTGACCGTATTTGCGCTGAAATTTAATAACTCGTTGCTGCAATTTGGTGGCGCATTCGATTTCTGCTGCTGCTGCAACAACAATATTAGCTACGCCCTCCMCCGCCCACCCCTTCCGCCCACAAGAAGCAGCAGCAGCAGCTTTGACGAGACATTGATGGTTCAATCCCCAATCGACCCACCAGCAAGCGGAGCCAATTTAGCAAACTGAATGCGATTTTTATATGCAACCTGTGCAGCTCGCAGCTTGCAGCTTGCAACACACAGACCCAGAGGCAGAGTCAAAGGATCGAAGCGAATCGCATCGCATGGCATTGAATCGCATTGAATCGTATCGGATCGGATCGAATCAGTAGCTGGCTGGGCACGTTTAAATGCTCGTTAAGTCATCACCAGGTGAGCTGGTTCTGCTACGCTCGACAGCCACGACCAGTGGCGACATTTGACAACAAAATATTTGTGACATTAAATGCTGTGGCATCCACGTCCACAGCCACAGCCACAGCCACATCCATACACAAGCGCAGCCATGCCACAGCTTGGCTCATCCCCATTCTGGATTGCAACTGCAGCTACGTGCTCATTTCACTAATTTAATGAAGACCTTTGTGGTGGCGCGTCCTGGCCATTGTCTCGACATCGTCTTCAGATTGATGAGCTCGGTGTAGACCACATATGCCAGGGCCAACTCCCCTCCTCATGCCCGCTTCCCCCGCTGTCCGCTGCCCGCTGCCCGCTGCCCGCTGCCCGCTGCCCGCTGCCCGCTGCCTGATGCCTGCCGCCTTCCGCCTCTGCAGCTCCCTCTGATTGCTTTCACTGGCTGCTGCATCAATAATTTGTGTTCGCCGTTGAAAATAATTGACCAAGTTTGTCTGTTTGCGGTTCTGGGTAGCCAGACGAAAAGCGCTGTGGCATTTAATCTACTTGCAGCAGACCGAGCGACCGCGGATGACAACGACAACTGCAGCGGCGGCACCAGCTGCCAAATGACGACAAAAACAGCTAACAAAAATGCTACGAATCAGCATCGGAGTTGCTCTTGGCCCGGCTCTTAGTCTTCATCTTGGACTTGCTCTTCGTCTTGCACTTGGCTTTCATCTGGCGTCTCGTTTCGGCCACTTGGTATTGGACTTGGACTTGGACTCGCTGCACTTCGCGTAATTGAAATAATTTTAAGTGAAAAATCTGCATTCAAAAAATATTTCACAATGTGAGAGGCCAGCAAAAACCAAGCTGCTGCCTACAAAGGCAGGGATTGACTGACTAACAAATACCCTTTCCAACAAGATATTCTACTGAGAGACCAAGTAATTGAGTGGATGAAGCAGCAGAGTCTCTGAATACATTTAATGAATATTTATATAGCATTAAGTCCCTGTTAGCGTTGAGTATTTCTTAGCTCTACATTTCGAATTGAAGATTCGATGATTCTCTCCCATGTAAGTATCCCACATGCTACTCTCTGCTACTCAAATGCCCCAATCAACAGACGGCACTTTTATGGTCGGGGCACTGAAATTTACATGCGCAAATTTAAGCAGTCGCTGGGTGGACAAAAAATAAAGAGAGGAAGAGGGAAGAGAGAAGAAAAGAGTCAACAGTTTGCAGTTCGCAGTTGGCAGTTTGGCATCCGGGCTCATTTGGAGTCATCTTAATCCTTGGTATTAAGGCAAATTGCTGCGGCAGCTGCTCCTTGGCCCACCTCGCCCCCATCTCTTGTCCAAGCAATGAACTTTCAAGTTCAGAGGGGCTACGATCACCGATCGCCGATCAATGATCAACGATCACCGATCGTCAATCGTCGTTCGTCGATAGCCGAGCACCGTAATTTGCTTAATTCGACGCTCAGCCCAGGGTTTTGGGGGCTGGATCTGGGTCTGGAGCCACGTAATGGGCGCTCAGCACGCGGCTGCCACTCGTCAATTTGTTTGGTAGCCCTTTTTATGCTGCTGTCGCTGACGATCGACACGTTCTGGATGATCCTGGAGTGCTTCTTCAGCAGCCGCAGCAGCCGCAGCAGCGCTGCCTCAATTTGGGTTTTGACTCGCCCGCGGGCAAGGGCAACGCAAGTTAAGTTTTTATCACATGGCTGCACTTGCCGCATTTTTCGGTGGCTGTAATTTCCGATCAGACATTATGCGAGCACACCCCTCCGACATCAAGTCAACAACTCTGCCGACTCTCGGAGTAGAGAGCACAAAAACTATTTCAGGGACAACTCTTTCAATAATTGCCAAATACTCGATTCAGAAACAGATGCAGACGAAATAGAACGTTGAAATGGAAATGGAACCCTCAAACTCTCTTTCATTGTGCCTCATTTCGCTTATCTGGAATTTTATTGTGGATAAATTGCACAATAGGCTCTTCCATTAACTGAAATTCCCTTGTTAAATTATAAAATCATTTGCCATATTCTAATAAATAATGCGAGAGTGATGGGAGAATACGTGGGATGCAGATATATGTAGAGAGGGATATAAAAAAAGAAGAAAGTAGTGAGAACGAGAAAGGAAGAGAATGAAATACAAATCGAAAGAGGGCGAGAGTGAAAGATAGAGATACAGTGCGAGAGAGAAAAGAGCTGAGAGAGAGAGAAACAAAGGGACATTGATAGAACTTGAAACGGAAGCAAAGGCATGCAACTAACCAGCTCCATCATGAGAATGCCATAGAAGAGCGATATCTGCATTCCTCTATTGAGTTCTCCTTGCCCGAACTTTGATTGTCGTTAAATACTTTGGATTCTTCTTGGCCTCTAAGTATCACTTATTTCCAGCGCCTCAACGTCAATTGGCATTGCTGTCAGATGGCCTCTGCTTAACTTATTTCATTGATCAGCAATGTCCAATTACCAATTACCAATTACCAATTAGCAATTAGCAATTAGCAAGCCATGCATCTCATTAACGTTGCCAGCGTGTCTCGTTTCGATTTCGATATTTGGGGCTGGCAGCTCGGTGGCCTCCATAACTCAGCTCAATATAAATCTGTTAACAAAACGCTTAATCCGTATTGTGAGTTTTATTTATGGCCATTTGATGGCACATTATCGGATCAGGCACATGGCACACTCGGATTCGGTATTCGGCATTCCCCATTCAACGCTCGACACTCGACACATGGCTCATTGGACAGTTGGCAGCTGGCTGCGCCTCATAATTGGATTCGTCACAGGCGCTCTTGTGGTCCTGGTCATAAATCGCGGCCTGCTTGAAATGCAAATTTTCGGTGCTGTCTGCCCCACCGTTGCTGTCTGCGGCAGTTGCATGTCGTCGCTGTATACGTGTGTGTGTGTGTGTGTGTGTGTGTTGGGGCACGGAGTATCATCGGCAAGGCATCAAAGTGCCAGGGCGCAAATGTTCGCCAGCCCAATTAACGCGGCAGCAGCTGAGAGAGTGCATCAGCAGGAGCAGCAATCAGACTTCACTTGAACAGCAAATGCTTGCAATTAAGCCTCGATTTTCGGCAAAGTGCGTGGCTTTTACTGAACAACAGCAACGGCAGCAACAACGGCAACAGCAGGAGCAGCAACGGCCACGAAGTCAGGAGCTGCTGCAACAAGAAGCGTTTCATGTTCCTCGCTTGCTGCTTGTTGATGCGTAACAAAGGATAATCCACAAAACTG